GGAGGGAGGGAGGGAGGGAGGGAGGAAGGAAGGAAGGAAGGAAGGAAGGAAGGAAGGAAGGAAGGAAGGAAGGAAGGAAGGAAGGAAGGAAGGGAGGGAGGGGAGGAAGGGAGGGAAGGAAGGGAGGGAAGGAAGGGGAGGAGGGAGGGAGAGAGGAACAGCTGACTTCCGTAAGGCACACAGTACAGCCAGGCAGCAGGTGTGTTTGCTGGCTTCTCTCACTTGCTTCAGTGTCTCATCTCTGCTTCTGTCTGTGACTTTGCCCCATTCTCGAGCAGAAATTACTCCCTTACCCTCACCATCCCCCACACGTACCATTATAGTAGTCCCTCAAAAGCATTCTGAACCCAAGTCTACCTAACCTTCCTACCTCTTAGAATAAGGTCATGTGGACAAAACATGACAGTCTGAGCTTCATATCTGTGGTAGGAACTGAAGAGAAGAATGCTCTCAAATAAGACAGTGAGGCTGGGCAAGTAACTTAAACAGGTCCCCTATAATCCTTAATATGGTATGAAAAACATGGTATATTTCCAGACAACTTTAATTCTTCTCCCACTGCAGTGCACTGTCATCTCCAGCTACATAGAACCACTCCCAGTCCCTAAACCCATTGTGCTCTTTGTGCATATGCTGTTTCCAGCACTTCGATATTCGTCTCTTCCTTAACTTCCTCAAAATCTCCTCTATATTCTTTAATAGCCAGTTCAAATGTCAGCTCTTCTATGAAAATACCGTTGCCCCGGTTAGTTGCTTTCTTCTCAGGGAATGCTTGGAACTTTCCATATAGCTCTATTAGACTATCTATATATCACACCAAACTGAAATGGTTTGCTCCCTTTTCTAGATTATGGGCGTTGGCAGGGGGCAGGGACAGGCACCATTCCCAGCATCTACTACTGTGTTGGGCTCATATTTAGAGATCCAAAAAGTTTGTTAAAGGGTGAAGATGTACAGCCAGTACATATAAACCAGTGGTTTTCAAAGTGTGTTCCTGGATTAGTAACATCAACATCATCTGAGAACTTGTTGGAAATGCAAATTCTTGGGACCCCACTGCAGACCTACTGAATCAAGAAAAACTCTGAAAGTACATATGGTAGACAGAATATTGGCCCTTTCCAAGTCCTAATCTGTGAAACCTCTGAATATCTTGTATTATAGCAAGGGGGAATTAAGGTTGCAGATGGAATTAAGGTTGCTAGTTAGTTGCTTTTAAAATAAAGGGATTATCCTGATTATCTGGGTGAGCCCAATATACTCACAGGGGTAAGGGAGACAGAGAAGCCAGAACCAGAAAGACATCATCATAACAGTGACTTGACTGGCCATTGCTGGCTTTGAAGATGAAAGGGGAACACCAGCCAAGGAATATGGGCAACCTAAAGATGCTGGAAAAGGTGAGCAAATGGATTCACCCCTAGAGCCTCCAGAAAGGAACTCAGCCCTTGATAAAACCTTCATTCTTTCCCAGGGAGACCCATTTTGACTTCTGACTTCCACAGTGTAAGATAGTAAATTTGTGTTGTTCTAAGCCACTGAATTTGTGGTAATTTGTTACATCAGCAATAGANCAACACTGAAGTATAATTAATAATATCCCTTCCTCAGTTTCCTACTTTATTGTATACCTTAATGATACACCACCATGCTGAAAATTCACTGGATGGGAACACCTGCCCCTTACCCAAGGCTCTGTTTATCACATCTTCCCTTTGCACAGAGGCAGCCAGCAGAAACTTTCTAGAAAGTAAATTAGTTTGAAAACCATCAAGCTTCCCTCCAGCACTTTGACTTCCCCAATGTCCTTTTATAATGTGGATTGTGCCCCTGTCCAAGAAACCAGAAGAGAAATATTTCTGTTTGAAGAGAATTGGAATCAATTGGCCTACAAGTCTTGGTCTTAGAAGCACTGAGAGACGGTGATATGGGGACTGTACCACCAGGAAGTGACTTAGTAATTCAATAGTTAGTGAATTCATTAATAAGTAAATGAATAAACAACAATGACCCTCACCCGAGGACTTCAGAAGGATGTTTGGGAGGCAGTGGTGGAGTTCTAAAAGGAGGTCATGAAGGAGGAAGGAAGAAGGCACAGCCTTCACCTGCTGCAGGGAAGAGGCCATGGACCAGTGATGGGCTGGAGGGAAGGGGGACTGGGTACAGACGCAGAGGATAAGACTGGAGAAGGGGCACATGGGCACCGACAGTGGCCCCCATGAATGATAGAGGCAGGAGTGGAAAGGTAACAGGATACACGGGGCTGGGCCTGACTTTCACCACGTTATCATCAGCTTGGGGTGGAACTTCAGAAGACCAGAGCTTGAATCAATATATATTTGTCGAATGAAAGAGATTTTAGTGTGAAATTGTTCTGGGACCTCAGGTTTTCTTTCAAGGTATTCAAAGAAGATCCCTGATTAGATTCACTAGAACTCTTAGCTGTAATGCAGAGATATGAGGGGAAGGTTGAGCCAATAATCAATGAATTGGAGGAGATGGAGACCGGGGGAATAGAAATAGAACAGAGTTTGATAAATGGTCAAGATCTGGTGTCCAAGGCATGCAGCCATTCCCAGTCAGGGACTTGGGGGCCTAGCTGAATAATGGGATTCTCACATTTATTCAGTGCCCACAGTGTCAGGCCTGGGGCAGGTGCTCTTCCCAATGTGACCTCACTGAAGCAAAGCATCCCAGTACATGGGCAGAGCACAGAGAGAGGAAACCAAGAGAAGCAGACACTTAGAGCCCTGACGGGCAGGTGGCGTCAGAGCCCTCTCTCTCCAGGGGACAGACTCAACCTATCAGCTGGAGCTCTAACAGGGTCCAGGCCCCAGGGCCCTGGGGATCTAACCAGATGCCAGAAACAGGAACTCAGAATGAGTTGTGTCCTTGAAACCCAGTTATCTTAACTGAGGCGCAGAGGATAGTGGAAGGCAAGGGGCAGAATTATACTTTAGGGAATAAAACAAGCACAGGGCAGTGATGAGGTACTGCATGCAGGGAAGGAAGAGGCTGGGTTGAAGGGAGTGACAGAGAGGGGGAAACTCCTCACTAAAGTATTCATTATCTGAGTTCCTACAGTTTTGAAGAGAAGTAGATAAGAAAGGATTTCCTGATGAAGCAAAATGACAGCGGGGAACTGCTTGAATCATGTTCTGTGCCCTGTCAAAACTCCTGGCTCAAAGAAACAATGAGTATAACACTTGATTGCTTTATGCCATGAAGTTTTGAAAAAATCTGTTACACAGTCTTAATTCTTGGAACATACCTGTTTTTGTATCATTTTAATTTCACTTAATTTGAGTTTTAGTTTTAATTTCATTTTCAAGATTAGGTCCCAAGTCCCGGTCCAACCTTTTTTTAAAACTACTATAGAATTTGGGAAACCCATTTTAAGTGGATTGATTTTTAGTGACTTTTTCCAAGTCTCAAATTTCCTGCAATACTTTACAGGGAACCCTGCCTCAAGCCCCGGTTGCTCCATGCACTCAAGCAGGTAGAGAGATCAGTGAGCCCCACTGCTGGGAAGCCTGGGAAGGCAGAGGAGAAGGCAGGGACCTGAGTTATCTGGACCAGGCCTCCCACTCAGCATTGCATGCGTCCAGAATGGTGGTGTGGAAGGAGGACAGCTGTTGGTGCTAGACGGCTGGAGGTTCCAAATCCCACTTAATAGCTGTATGATATTAGGCATGTCACTCAACTTTTCTGAGCCTTAGCTTCCTCAGCTGTATTATGGAGCTCCTGATCTTACTATGCTGGGCTGTTACAAGGCCTATCGCTGATAATCATCCATGTGAAGTAGCCACTAGTGTTAGTTTCCTACTGAGGATCTTCCTTCTACCATTAGACCCACGTTCCATTAATGTGAAAAGGATTATTAAAAAATCATAAAAAAACAAAATGAGGAGCAATGCTCAAGTTTCAGTTTTACTCCTTTCTTTCTTCTTTAGATCTTTTATAATCATAGTCTCATGCCCCTCCCCATAGAAGTGGCACCATCTGGAAGCACAGACTGAATATAGTCCAGGGGTCATATACACCCAATAGTTTTTTTTAGCAATTTATATGTTAAAAACAGTGCTGGGTAGTTGAAGTTCAGAGAGGTTAAGTTATCTGGCCTAGGTCACACAGCTAGCAAGTACCAGAGCCAAGATTGAAAGCCAGATACTTCTGACCTTAAAGCTGAAGCTCTTTCCTTAGCAGACTATCTCCTCTTCAGTGGTAACAGTGTCTCAAAGGAGGTCTGGAGTCAAAAGTACCCCAGGTCCTGTTCCAGGGATAGGAACAGGTAGAGCACCCTTTCCTACCAAGTACAGGACACTAAGAACTCATATCAGGAGGGGTTCAAGCATGGAATATCATCAGCTCAGAAAGTACAGAGCATGGCAGTGATGGAGCAGCACATGCAGACAGGCAGATCAGGTTAGAATCTATGTACCAGCTGGATGATCCTGAGCATGTCGCCCAAACTTCCTCTCAGTTTCTCTGTAAATTGAGAATAAAAAGAACATTATCAACTTCACAGGGTTGTGGGGGGTCAAGTGGAGATACATTTTATCGAGAGTTTAATATGAAGCAGAGCATATAACAAGTCCTTGATTTCTGCCAGTCATAATAATGGGAAGATGAGAATTCCAAATGAAAAAATTTATTTTACTATGGAAAACAAGATGTCACAATGCAGAAAGCCTGTGACAACTGATATGTAAATCAGAAGAAAATAAAAGCCTCTTGAATCACTAAGTCACTGCCTGGTGGGATTCTCTTCATCCCAAAGAGAGTGCAGGGGGCCTCTGCTCTTCACCTCGTGTTGGGGAACGTGTGCTAAAATATACAACCTGAAAAGAAATGCCTCTGAAGAAACACAGGCCAGTGAAATAAACAATCAAATGAAAATGTGCACACGATTGTTCTTTTCCCTTGACCTGGGAAATTCGGGCAAGTAATGTTTGGAAAAGAATCTGAAGAAAGTGGAATGGAGGGAAGCATTCCCGTATATTAATGTCATGTGAACTCACAGACTCCAGAGCCATTTGGTCCTGCTAGGAGGCCCATGCCCAGAGTGACTCATTAAAACTTTCCTAACAATAGCTCTACCACCCATGAAAAACTGTTTTCTTCTCCCTTCCTGAGAAATCACCCCAGTTGCCTCTGAATGGAGACTCTCAAACCAACAACACTGAAGTATAATTAATAATATCCCTTCCTCAGTTTCCTACTTTATTGTATACCTTAATGATACACCACCATGCTGAAAATTCACTGGATGGGAACACCTGCCCCTTACCCAAGGCTCTGTTTATCACATCTTCCCTTTGCACAGAGGCAGCCAGCAGAAACTTTCTAGAAAGTAAATTAGTTTGAAAACCATCAAGCTTCCCTCCAGCACTTTGACTTCCCCAATGTCCTTTTATAATGTGGATTGTGCCCCTGTCCAAGAAACCAGAAGAGAAATATTTCTGTTTGAAGAGAATTGGAATCAATTGGCCTACAAGTCTTGGTCTTAGAAGCACTGAGAGACGGTGATATGGGGACTGTACCACCAGGAAGTGACTTAGTAATTCAATAGTTAGTGAATTCATTAATAAGTAAATGAATAAACAACAATGACCCTCACCCGAGGACTTCAGAAGGATGTTTGGGAGGCAGTGGTGGAGTTCTAAGAGGAGGTCATGAAGGAGGAAGGAAGAAGGCACAGCCTTCACCTGCTGCAGAGAAGAGGCCATGGACCAGTGATGGGCTGGAGGGAAGGGGGACTGGGTACAGACGCAGAGGATAAGACTGGAGAAGGGGCACATGGGCACCGACAGTGGCCCCCATGAATGATAGAGGCAGGAGTGGAAAGGTAACAGGATATCTTCTGATTTACATATTAGTTGTCATAGGCTTTTTGCATTGTGACATCTTGTTTCCTTAGTAAAATAAATTTTTTCATTTGTAATTCTCATCTTCCCATTATTGGTATTGGTACTGTCAGAGCCACCTTCACAGTCATATAATCTGGGCTATAGCCCTATTTCTGTGTCTATTCTTGATGCATTATCCTGATTCCAAACCACCCCAAAAAAGGTCAGAATCTGCACCAAGTCTGTCTCCAGGATACTTGTGAAAATACATTTAGCCTGTCTTACTTCCTCTCAGCTCTCTGTCTTTGATACAGGTCTCTCTTCTAGCAGGCTTTGTGTAAAGCAAAGGCTCTTTCTGGAGGCATTTTTGCATTAAAAAGAAAGGTGTATTATTAAAAGTGAGTATCAATTATAATGAGGCATTTTTAGTGGGGCTTCATAATGTTGGAAGCAGGGAACAGAGGCCTCTGAGCTGAGATCCTGGCAGCTGCATTTTATTAACCTGAGTCAGGGTGCTAAGCTGATTTTCAGACTTGATTGACAGAACCCTTTCAGCATAAACCCTGGAAAACTATTAGGAGGAAAGAATCCCATGAAGGTACTCTGCCTGTAATAGTTCTAATGCAGAAATGCATTTGATCAGCAGCATGCCGAGCTCATATCATTTCCAGTGTGAGTAGCAATATGGTTCCAGTGTCATTTACCACAACCAATTATGGTACATCCTGACAACATTTAAAACAGAATTGGATTAAGAAAATGCACTCTTAAGATTGTAGTCTAAGAGGCAAAATACCAGAGTTTTCAGTGGATCTCATTTCACCTCTCTTTGATTATAAGAACAGGCTGAAGAAAAACACAAAAAACACATTGAGGGGCACGAGGGTGAAAGAAATCATAAAAAAACAGTATACATCAGCAATTTGATACCCTGCCCTTTTCTTCAGGACTCTTTTCCACTGCTGCAATCTCCTCTAAAGAAGTCAGAGAGTCTGTCTTCAAGCTGCAGATTCACTTCCCAAAATTAAAGAATGTATTTCTCAACCCTCCCCACCATTCCTGTCTTCCACAAAAGGCACTAGCTCTAATGAGTAAAAATCCCTGTTACAGAAAACATCAGCGGCAAAGCCACCACTGTGTTCAGAAAGTTCTACTCCAGTGGCATATTGGCTGATCTATAGACCAACAGAGATGTCTTCTAGATATTTCACATTTTAAAGGGATCAGGCAGACATTGCTATCTTCTGAATTAACCAGCCACACATTTCACTGGGATGGTACACTTGAAGTACCTCTCCAAGAAATCAAATATCAAATACTTTTTCTGTTTTTAAAATAGCTTTATTGAGTTGTTAGAATATAAAAATAATGTATGTTCATTACAAAAAATTCAGAAAATATAGAAGAAGGCAATGAAAAATAAGGATAGCATCCAGAGATTATCACTGCTAATAATTTGGCATCACCCACACATATTTACAAACAAAAATGTTATGAGATAATACAATGTAGTATAACCTGCTTTTTATCATTCAATGATGTTATGAACATTTTCCATGTCAATAAGTATGGCTGTACATCATATATTCAAAGCTGCAGAATATTATTGTATTACCATTATTTTAACTAATCCTCTTGTGATGAACATTAGGCTCCTCTCCTTCTGTTCTTTTTTTAAATGATATTGCAACAACATTGCTGTACATCTAACTTTAATGTAACTGAGAATCACCTGGGGTATTTTGAATATGTGGATGCATGGGCCTTATATGTAGATATTCTGCTTCAGTAAGTTCTAAAAGTAAAATTGTCATTTTTGGCAAAGGCTATGCCATGAAGCATTTCAATAATCTACTTCATTTGAGTTACCTTGCTGATTAAAAAGACCGGGTCATGAGAGTAGATATATGATCTAAGGTAGGAGATACATCTGAGGTGCGGGTGAATGGAGTAAGTCTGTCTGAGAGCCCTCAGAATCAGCCCTTCAGTGTCTGTGGGATGCATAAATCCTCCTCATGCCACCCCTGGGCTCTTCCACTGGAGCCTGCAGTGAGAAGACTTGAGGAGAAGTGGGGGTGAAGACACAAGGTAAGAGTGGGTTCAACATCTTGGCTGGAAAAGGTGTTTCCTGAGAGCAGAGGCTATTCACTGCCTAGGAAATTGCTGCCAACAGAGGGTCACCAAACAAGACAGCTCCATCCCCAGGCTTGTATACAATTTGCATTTGACTAGTGTTCTGTTTCTGGGTTTTCCAAGAGTTTGAGAGATGAGAGTAAGAAAGAATATTGGTATTTCTCCACTTCCAGGATATAAGCATGCTTAAGAAAGTGTACACACACTCACTCACAGGAACAGAGGCACACACATATTCCCCTGCTTATACTCTTCAAACTCTGGAAGGAGATTTCCAACTATAAGCTTTACATAAAGAACAATTTTTGTCCAAGGCCACAAAATATGGAAATTGAGCAAGGAGGCATCCAATTTGAACCATGTAAGGAAAAAATGTTGTCTTTCATTTTTGGGGGTGAATGTTATTGAAGTATGATATACATACAAGAAAGTGTTCAAACCACGAGTTTACAAACTCAACACATTTTTATAAAGTGAAATTATACACTGGTATAACCAGCATTCAAATCAAAAAATTGAGGAATGCCCCACCCCTGGGTACCAGCATGCAGTCGCTATTCTCCCCAAAGAAAGCCACCATCCTGATTTCAACAGCTTTAATTGGTTTGATCTTTTTGAGCTTTATATAAATGGAATCATATGATATATGTGCTCTTTCAGAGTTATTTTGACTAGATTTTATAGATGATTAGTCTAAATCGTACATCATGTAGACATGTTCCAGTATTAAAGCAGAGATATCTCCCTCAAAATAAATTTTAAAGTATATACTTTAAATAAGTCAGTGTCCATTTGTGCCATTAAAATTGAATAGCTTCATCTAAGTTGAGCCCAGCTGAATTTCTGGGGCCCTTATGCCTCTGTCTATAGTAAGTAATAAGGGTCCTAAAAGGTTACTCCCCCTTGTTCATGACAGATGACTTGAGAGGCAATATAATACAGTGGCAAAAAGATTAGCTTTGGAACCATAAAAACTGTATTCAAATAGAATCATCTCCACTTACCAGCTATACTATCTTCATGAAGTCACGTAATCTTCTTGGACTCTGTCACTTCCAGACCTATAAAATGGGGGAAATGCCTCATTGGGTTGTGAAAATTAAATAAAATCACAAATGTAAAGCACTTGGCATTCAATGTTTATTCTTTTCTCCCTCAGAGAGCAAACCTTGATATCCATCAAATTAAGCCCATTGTGTACATATCACCTAAACAAATGTGTTTTTCTTTGTTTTTTTACATAAATATATTTTCAATGACAATTATTTGAACCACTAACTAGCAACTTTAATATCATTTACAGTCATTCCCAGGTTTGTGATCTAAGGGAATTTAAAGTTTTTGATGCAGTCTTTTTCAAAACAGAAATGTCACTATTCATTCTTTGGAAACACATATGGCTTCATGTCCCTCACGTTCCCCACCATGCTGGCCTACCTATTTATTTATTAATAATATCCATCAAAAAACCATTGTTATCACAGCTTCCTGTGATGGCCTAAGAGCACACAAAATCATCATGTTCCAGCAAGTTTACAAAGCATGCAATGTGCTTCCCCTGACATTATCATTTTATTAATAGCCATTATGCCAATTCATTTTTAATGGCCTTTTCAGTTAGACATGTACAGATCTTATAAAGTCTTATGATTTCTGCACTTTCATCAGTATACATATTAAAATCTATGACAGATTGCTAATGAGCTGATGTTGGAATTACAGAGTAGTCTGTTATCATTTGTCCATTCACAGTTTCCTCACCAGCCCATCTGTGCTCGGAACAGAGCCACCACAGAGCATGCAGGCTGGGACAGTTTCTCCATTTACACCTTTTGCCTTCAGAGGCCTCTGGGAAAGCCTGTCCCTAATTAAAGATTTTAACAAACATATTGCCAGCTTCCTAACACTGTTATTAAACTGCTCTCTTTTGTTAGAAAAGGTGCCGTTTGTCAGCAGTTTGTAGATTTAGATGTTTAGTATGTTTCTGTAGCCCTACAAAATATTTGTGTTTTTGGAACAATTCAATTAGTATGTTACGCATGTGTGTACCTGCAGACACAATAAATACACATGGCACTCATGCTATCAAAATCCTGTATGATTATTCAGACACACAAGGACAAAGAAACATGGTGCATTTTTGTAGACACATAGTCTTCCCTATAAAACAAGATAGTATTGAACACTCGAAGGTTGGAATAGTTAAAATGATCAGATTGAGATCATATCTCAGATAATTTGGGGCAGGACAAAGTACCTATTACCTGAACTGTTTCTACAATTAAGGTACATTGAAAAAGAATCTGATTTCTCTGTTGGGACATATTTAGTTAAGAGGACAGATATTCCTTTGCACTGAAGGTTGAACTATCACAAGGGCGGTTCTCAGTCAACATGGGTATGGCTGGGGCTGAGTAGGAAAGGGGACCATGGAGGCAACTGGGGGGCTTTTGCCATACCCTCTCTCACCAACACCACCAGATCTGGACACACCCCCATTACACCCAGATGACAGCTGCTGCTTTAGAGCTCTGAGGGCACCAGAGGTATGACAGAGCTGAGAGCTTGCTGCCTCTGGGAAAAGGTTCTCAGATCTTAGTCTTGGAAGTGGATTCATCTTCACTCTCCCCAGGGTGAGCACAGAGAAGGGTAGCCCCACTGGTAATCACCATAAAGGCTTTGCCACACTAAAGTCACTCTCTGAGCAAATACTGAGGGGTCTGTGGCCTTCACCACCAAGGTAAAAAGAGTAACTCCCAGAGATCTGGCACTTCAGATATCAGAAGGTGACTGAATGCTGCTGTGGAGTCATTTCCACCAGTGACACTGTGACACTGAGGGACTGTGACATGCATTTCCTGATGTGGAATTTCTGTGGTCATGCATCACTCTGAAATTTTAATGCAGGTTTTGATGCTTTGGTTTAATTCTTACACAAGCAAGTCTGAGAGAGATGCAATAAATCATAAGGCAAGATCCTTGTCCTGAAAGAATTTGCATGCTAGAGAGCTAATACACATCCATGAAAACCATATGCTCTACATAATACCACACAGTAGCCATTGCTAAGGGCCAAATGATTGGCACAAATGCAGGGGAGTTCAAAGGCTGCAGACATCCCTTCTGGGAAGGATGAGTTAGGAAGGTGTAGGACTCAGTGCTTGAGAGACAGGGAGAAGACACTGTGAGCTGGGATGATGGTGCAAAAGGACAGAAATATTTTGGGGACGTGAATAGACTGCTTTGGCTAGAGAAGAATTTTATAATGGAACATGAAGAAAGCAAAGTTTCAAGGATAAAGGGCCACTCTGTTAAGGTAAAGATCTGTTCTTTACCTTTTTTTTTCTTTTTAGTTAGTTAGTTGCTTTATTGTTTTGCCTTTTAAATAAATTTAATTTTTGAGCAGATTTATGTTCACAGAAAATTTGAGCAGAAAGAATGGAGCATTTGCATGTACTCCCTGTCTCCATATGTGCACAGCCTATCCCGCTGTCAACATCTCTCACTAGAGTGGTACATTTGTTGCAACTGATCAACCTATTATATTGTCATGTCAATTGATGAACCTATATTGACACATCATTATCACCCAAAGTCCATACTTTACATTAAGGCTCACTCTTAGTATTGTATGGGTTTTGACAAATGTATAATGACATGTACCCACCATTACAGCATCACACAGAGTAATTTCACTGCCCTCACAATCCTCTTGCTTTGCCTGTTCATCCCTTTCTCCTTACCAACCCCTGGCAATCACTGATCATTTTACTGTCTCCATAGTTTTTTGTCTTTTCCAGAATGTCATATAGTTGCAATCTCACAGGTATATAACTTTTTCAGATTGGCTTCTTTCACTTGGTAATATGAATTTAATCTTCTGTGTCTTTTCAATGCTTGGTAACTAATTTATCTTCAATGATGATGATATTTCATTGTCTGATGTATCACAGTTTATTTAGCCATTCTCCTACTGAAGGATGTTTTGGTCACTTCCAAGTTTTGGCAATTATGAATAAAGTTGCTATAAACATCTATGAGAAGGTTTTCATGTAAACAAGTTTTCAACTCCTTTTGATAAATACCAACAAATGTGTTTGTTGGATTGTATGGTAAGAGTATGCTTAGTCATGCTTAGTTTTGTAAGAAACTGCCAAACTATCACCCAAAGTGGAAGATACACCATTTTATATTTCCACCCGCAATGAATAAGAATTCCTATTGCTCCACATCCTCAACAACATTGGGTGTTATTGGTTTTTTAGATTTTGGCCATTCTAATAAGCATGTGTGGTATCTCATTGTTGCTTTAATTTGCATTACCCTAATGACATATGATGTAGAGCATCTTTTAACATACTTATTTGCCATATGTATATCTTCTTTGGAATGGAAGAGCTCAAGTCTTTGACCCATTTTTTTAAGTAGGTTGTTTGTTTTCTTATTGTTCAATCTTATGAGTTCTTTATATATTTTGGATAACATTCCTTTATCAGCTGTATCTATTGTAAATATTATTTCCCAATGTGAGGCTTGTCTTCTCGTTCTCCTGAAATTGTCTTTTATAGAGCATAATGCTTTTTATTTTGATGAAGTCCACATGGCCAATTATTTCTTTCATGTACCTTTGATGTTGCATCTAAAAAGTACTAACTAAATCCACAGTTATCTAGATTTTCTCTTATATTATCTTCTAGGAGTTTTATAGTTTTGCATTAACATTTACATGTTATCCATTTTAGGTGTGTGATCCACTTTGAATTAATTTTTACAAAGGGAAATTTATTGCAAAGATTTCATTTGCAAAGTGTCTAGATTCATTTTTTTTGCATGTGGATGTCCAGTTGTTCTAGTATCATTTATTGAGAAGACTATCTTTTATTAGTTGTATTGCCTTTACTGCTTTGCCAAAGATCAGCTGACTGTATTTGTGTGAGTCTACTTCTAGGCTCTCCATTCTGCTTCATTGATTTATTTGTCTGTTCTTTAACCAGTACTATCCTGTCTTGATTACTGTAGCTTTATAGTAACTCTTGAAGTTGGGTAGTGTCAGTTCCCTGACTTTTTCTCTCTTTTAATATTGTGAGGGCTGTTCTGGGTCTTTTGCCTCTATAAACTTCAGAATAAGTTTGTCAGTATCCACAAAATAACTTACTAGAATTTTTATGGGGATTGTATCAAATCTATACATCATGTTGGTATGAACTGACATCTTAGTATTGAAGCTCCCTATCCATGAATATGGAAGTTCTGTCCATTTATTGTCCATTTCTTGAGTTCTTTGATATCTTTGCTCACAGTTTTGTAGTTTCCTTATATAGATCTTGTACATATTTTTAAGTTTTGTATTTATTTCATTTCATTTTTGAACTTGCTAATGTAAATAGTATTATATATTTAATTTCAAGTTCCAGTGTTCATTACTGGTATAGAAAATAATGATTGACATTTTTATCCATACCCTTGCTACAATTGCTCATTAGTTCTAGGTGGTTTTCTTTTTTTTCGTCAATTTTTTCAGAATTTCTACATGGATAATCATGTCTTCTGTGAATAAAGACAAGTTTAATTCTTCCTAATTTGTATAGCTTTTATTTCCTTTTCTTGTCTTATTGCATTAGCTAGGACTTCTAGTACCATGTTGAAAAACAGTGGTAAGAAGGGACATCCTTGTCCTTTTCCTCATCTTTGCCGGAAAGCTTCAAGTTTCTCACTAATAAGTATGATGTTAGCTGTAGAGCTTTGTAAGTGTTCTTTATTCAGTTGAGGGAATTTCCCTTTATTCTTTCTGAAAGTTTTTATCATGAAAGGGTGTTGGATTTTGTCACATTCTTTTTCTGCACCTCCTCAGTTGATCGTGTGATTTTTCTTCTTTAGCCTATTGATGTGATGAATTACATTAATTGATTTTTCTATGTTGAACAAGCTGGGATAAATTCCACTTGGTTATAATCTATAATTCTTTTCATACTTTGTTGGATTCAATCTGCTAACATTTTGGTGAGGATTTTTGCATCTATGTTCATGAGAGATGTTAGTTTGTAGTTTCCTTTTCTTATGA